CCCCAGCCTCCTCACCGAACGGCCATTTCCCCTCTTCCCCCAGCCTCCTCACACAATGGCCATTCATTCAGCTTCCTCCCCTCAGCCTCCTCACTAACAGCCACTGCCACCCATCCCCACACAGCCCATACATTACCCGTCCCCACAGATGTGCCTGTACCCCCGTCTTTTCTTGGACCTGCCATTACGCCCAGTGTGTCAGAGGTCCCAACTGCCCAAACTAAGGCAGGGGAGATGTGTCATACGCCCTAGGCCAACCGGGGTGGACAGTGGGAGGTCCCGGCTTGGTTTAGGGCAACACTGTCAGCTTTGCACCCCAACCTGGACCTCGGTGAGGAGCTGCAGCTGTGGTGAGTGGGGTGCAGCCGGGGGGCGGGGGGGTTGGAGGGCAGATTGGGATGGGATATATGGCGCTTATCCATCACCCAACAGGTCTAGCTGCCTATAATATCACTAACCCCCCTGGCAGGGCTAGTGACAGGCCATCAAAACTGGTGCACCCCTCTTCCCATCCCCCCACCAAATCTTGTGCAGACCCTCCCCAACAAATCTGCGACAATCCCCTCCCCAGCTCTCTTCCCCCATTAAATCTTGTGAACCACCCTCCCTTGGTCAAATCTTATGTTCCCCCTTTTCTAGCCCCTCCATCAATTTTTGTCCGCTCCCCCTTTTCAGCCCATCAAATATTGTGAACAACCCCATTGCAATCCACCTCCCACATAAAATTTTGTGCCGCCTCTTTCAAGCCCCCATCAAATTTTATTCAACTCCCCCTTTCCCCAAGCCCCAAATACTGGCATTCCTCCAAAGAGACAACCAGACATAAAAATGGCTTAGCCACCTCTCCCCTCATCACCCCCCAGCCCCTCACCAGCCCCAGGCGGTTAATATTCTGTTGTCTGCTTGTTTCCACCCCTCCCGCACCCCTCCCCCTTCCCTGCCACTGCCCCACCCCACCCCTGCAATTATGACGGACAGGTGACCATTTCCGTGGATGGTATCCTGACAACGACGGGCTACACACAGGAGGATTATACCATGCTGGGCTCAGATGACTTTTTCTACATTGGGGGCAGCCCCAACACAGCTGACCTGCCGGGGTCCCCAGTCAGCAATAACTTCATGGGGTGCCTCAAGGATGTGAGTATGCAATGACATGCAGCTGCCTCTGGGGCTGGGCGAAGTGTCTATGTCAGGGGTCGGCAACCTTTCAGAAGTGGTGTGCCGTTCATTTATTCACTCTGATTTAAGGTTTCCCGTGCCAGAAATAAATTTTAACGTTTTTAGAAGGTCTCTTTCTATAAGTCTATAATATATAACTAAACTATTGTTGTATGTAAAGTAAATAAGGTTTTAAAATGTTTAAGAAGCTTCATTTAAAATTAAATTAAAGTACAGAGCCCCCTGGACCGGTGGCCAGGATCCGGGCAGTGTGAGTGCCACTGAAAATCAGCTCGCGTGCTGCCTTTGGCATGCATGCCATAGGTTGCCTACCCCTGGTGTATGTCTGTGGGGATCCCTTGACCAGCGCTGTGATGCAGCCACCTATGGGGTGGGGTGCAAGGACTGTTTAACATCCCATAGCAATGCTGCCCAAAAGTTTAGGGCAGGAAATGCAGGAGTATCTCTTGTCAGCGGCAACTGAGGACCATTCCCATATGATCCTTGTTTGGGGGCTGGCAGGGATGGAATTTGGTGTGTGATGTAGACAATAGGAACCAGAAGGAGACCCAGGAAACTCATTACACATAGCAGCCATCAGATAAGAACAGCTCTAGATCATTGTTTACTTGAAGCCAGATTGGAACTGGCTTTTCCCCTAGAGGGAAAAGACCTTGTATTCCACCCCGCACCTCCCTGCAAGCTAGCCAATCTCCCTACCCCCTGAGCCAGCCAGCAGGTCGCTGCTGGGGGCCAGATCGAAGTTGGCACCCCCTAGAGGACAAAGGCCTCGTATCCCACTGCAGCTCTCCCCACCAGGTCGTGTACAAGAACAATGACTTCAAGCTGGAGCTGTCACGCCTGGCAAAGGAGGGCGACCCCAAGATGAAGATCAATGGGGACTTGGTGTTCCGCTGTGAGAATGTGGCAGCGCTGGACCCAGTCACCTTTGAGTCGCCCGAGGCCTACATCTCCCTGCCCAAGTGGAACACCAAGAAGACTGGCTCCATCTCCTTTGACTTCCGCACCACCGAGCCCAACGGGCTGCTGCTCTTCAGCCATGGGCGCCTGCAGCCCCCGCGGGAGGGCCGTGCTGAGCGTCCACACAAGGCTGACTACTTTGCCATGGAGCTGCTGGACGGCCACCTTTATCTGCTGCTGGACATGGGTTCTGGCGGCATCAAGATGCGGGCCAGCAACAAGAAGGTCAATGACGGCGAGTGGTGCCACGTGGACTTCCAGCGTGATGGGCGTAAAGGTGAGAGGGCTCCCCTGCCCTGCTTGCAACACCCCAGCCTATGGGGAACCCCATGCTCACCTCTGTCCCCTCATCCCCTGCCTATTGATGGAAACCCATGTCCCACCTCTGCCTGCTCCCGGTGCCCTGGCTTCCTGGAACTCTGCCCACCCACAGAGAGTGCCATGCCACCTCTGCCCTCCAGACCGTGCCAGCAAGTCAACTGCCTACAGAGACCCCCTTCTGCCCAGAACAGAGACCCCATGTGCTCACATCTACCCCCACCCATGAGGAGCCCCCAGCTGGGGTGTCTGGAGTTGTGCAGCAATGTGGCAGGGTCATGGTGCCACATGGTGGCTCTGCCGTGCATTGGGGGCTGTAGGGGCTGCAATTGGGCTTTGGATGAGGGCCAGCAGGTGAGGTGTCAGGGGTGTGGGGGGAACTGCTGAGTCACAGAGCTCAGTGGTGGCACTCAGGCTGAATTGTGCTTTGCACTTTGGGGTCAGGGAGCAAATTTGATCCTATTATAGTCCTTGCCCAAGGACCTGCCCAATAGAGAGCCCAGAGCTGTCTGCCCCCCCACACCTTTTTTTTCCCCTCTCACTGCTGATTGGCATAACGAATTGGCTGTTCATTAGCGGCTCATTAGAGAGGTGAGAAAATAGGCCCAGGAGTGGCAGGAAACAGAGACAGAAGCATCTCTTACAGCTCCCCATAAGTGGGGTGGAGGGAGAGAGAGAAAGAGATAGATGCAGTGCTGCCCCCTACTGGTTGAAATATCTCAAAGCCTGTCTAAATCGATATAATTTCTCATTTTGGCCATATGTATATGCACAGTACCTTACTGATAGGGACATGTCAGCACTGTCCCTATGTGCATATCAGCTCCCTGTGTGTATGTGTGCATTTATGTTCAACCTGTGGAACTCTTTGCCAGAGGATGTTGTGAAGGCCAAGACTATAACAGGCTTCAAAAAAGAACTAGCTAACTTCATGGAGGATGGGTTCATCAATAGCTATTAGCCAGGATGGGCAGGGATGGTGTCCCAGCCCCTGTTTGCCAGAAGCTGGGAATGGGCCAGAAGGGATGGATCACTTGATGGATTACCTGTTCTGTTCATTCCCTCTTGGGCACCTGGCATTGGCCACTATCGGAAGACAAGATACTGGGCTAGATGGACCTTTGGTCTGACCCAGTATGGCTGTTCTTATGTTTATGCATGTGCATATATGTGTGAGAATCGTGCATGTCTGAGTGAGCGTGTGTGAATTAGTGTGTGTGTGTGCATGAATGCATGGGGATGTGTAAATCATTGTGTGAGTGCATGTGTGTGAATCAGTGCATATGTATGGGTGCATGTATGTATTGTGACCTTGTTTTGACCCAAGCAGTAAGCCAAAAATTCAGTCTTGAAGGTTGTTCTAGTTAGGAGGAGAAAGTGGTGATGGATGCAAACCTGTTTATTTACAAAGAATGGACAAAGTCCTGTTTCTCTGAACAAGGCAGGAATCAAACAGAGAGCTTCTTTGCTCATAGCTCCAATCTCCTCTGTAGCCAGCACTAGGCCCAAAAGCTCTCTCTCTCTTAACTTTTTCCAAGGGCTATGCTCCCAGTGCTTTTGTGACTGCATGTGGTGTTTCCTTGCTGCCTTTTCCTTTCCTTCCTCTGGTCTTTCTGCCTCTCTCTCACAAAGACACACACCTCTACAAAGCAACACACCTCTCCATCCATATGTGCCTTTGTTTTGAGCAGTAACACCCTGTGTTTTGGTTGGAGGGCCCAATTGTTTCAGCTGCCTGGGTCACTAAAATATCTATAATGGCTTCTTACAACTATCTTAAATGAAGGGTGGTGTTTCCGCTGAATAGTAACAGCAAGGTTTATCCAGAGCCTGAAAACACCCCTCATCTTATCTTCACCCATCACCTTGATGGAGTCCAAAATGGGGACATCCTGAGCAACCCATCCCAGATAGAAAGAAAAGTAACTATTTAACAAATTACATATGATACAAGCTTAACTATTTACATATTTACAGTGTCTTTCTGTCTGGATATTTCACGTAACCAATCCCAGACAATTTTACTTCCATCCAAATCTTCTTGGAGCTTTTCTTTCCCTTCCCCATTTCCTTTCATCCACAGCCAGGAGTTCCTTTTGAGTGGTGCAGTAATTTCACTCCAGAGAACTTAAACTTTTGCTGTAATAAGCAATCATGCTCTCAAGTCCTTGATGTTCTTGTGTCAATACTGCCCCCAATCTGTAAGCACTAGTATTTGTGTCAATATGAAAGGTCTTTTGAATCACGGGCAGTCCAAGATAGGAGCAGACACAAGAGCCTGTTTGAACTCTGAAAATGCTCTGCTGACCACTGAAATGGTTTCCCTTTCTCTCCCAACCTATGCAGCATTTTTGCAATATTGGCAAACCCACAAATAAACCTTCTATAATAGGAGCAGAGTCCGACAAAACTCTGCACATCTGTGAGTGTCTGGGAAGTTTGCCAGTTCTGCACAGCCTCAATTTTCTGTTTGTCAGTGAAAATTCCCTCCTCCCTGATTGTGTGCCCAAGAGATATTACCTTTTTTTTGAAACAGCTCACATTTCTTTGAGTTCCGTTTCAGATTGGTATTCTTCAGCTTACCGCAGACCATTTGTAGATGTATCAGTTCCTGTTCAAAAATTTTAGCATGCACTAGGATATCATCTAGGTGTAACAGACAGGCTGAGAGAGACATGCCGTGTCACACCCTCTCCATTAGCCTCTCAAATGTGGTTGGTGCACTGCATAAGCTGACAGCCATCCCTTTTAATTGCCACCGGCCTTGTCCTGTGGTGAAATCTGTCTTTTCCCTGTCCTTTAGATCCTCTGACACTTGCCAATACCCACTTTTAAGATTCCGTGTGGAAAACCAGATTGAACCTGCCGCACCACCCAGAGTATCATCTGTTCATGGTAGTGGATAAGAATCTTTTAAAGTGACTTCATTTAGTTTTCTATAGTCCACACACAATCAGGTGCTGTCATCTTTTTTTCTTAATCAGCACTGTGAGTGAACCCCAAGAAATGGTTAAAGGCTCAGTTATGTCTTCCACATTTCCTCAGTGGCCTGTAAGGCCTCTCCCCTCTTTGTTACTAGTAGCCAGTGAGATGGCTGTTTAGTGGGTCATTTCCCCCCATTTCAATCTTGTGCTGGATTAGTGCAGTACAGTCTGTATCTTTGTTGGATGAGGAGAAAAACTCCTCTGATTCCTAGCCAGAAAGTCTCTCAGACTGTTCTGCTGCTTTTCATTTAAATGTATGGCACTGCACTGGAACAAGTCTAATAGAAACTCTGGGAGCTCACCTTCCCCCCACCCCCAGTAGTTTTCTTCTATACCAGCAATTACTAGATCCACTGGTTCTTTAAGTGATAGTCCCTATGGAATACAGATTGGGACCACACATCTCAAAGAACCTCTAGTTATAGGTAAGTAACCTCCTCTTCACATTTTGCACCTGTGGTTCCCTTTGTTATTATTTACTGCTTGTCAGAAACATGTAGCAGAGGAACAGACCTCCATTCCTAATTCAGCTCCACAAGAGCTTTAGCAGCTAAGATTCCCCTGAGACCCTGGGTCTCAAAACAGGTTTTAGCTACTCCCCATCTTTCTTTGCTGGAAAGCTACCACAGCATGTAGCTGTTATAATGGTTTCTCCCCCTAGGGGCAGGATGACTCCTTCACTGCAAACTAATTGCCTACAAATCATCTGTCTCACCTGAGCCAAGTATTTAAAGGGAATTTCCACAGACTGACACTTTTCCTGGCATTTATTACACAGTTATTAGCCATAAAGAAATCCAAACTGATGATTAGCTCATCCACTATCTTGGCTATCCAGACTTTTTATTCAAATTCAAGAAGTCCAACTTTGAAACCTAATTTTCAGACAGATGCATGTTCAACCCCTCTCATCCTGCCATTTGGGACCAATGAGGCAGATCAGATTTAAATCTCCTATACCTAGCCTTTTTAGCATGTCTGATCTAATAACTATTATGTTTGAGCCAGTGTCGGTCACCTCAATGCATTTCACAGCTCCTATTATACACTTAATAGCCAATTCCTATTGTTGTTTAACTGCCCAGATCTAAACAAAAACTGTGGGGCTGATCCTTGTACCCCCAGGTTTTGCCCCTCCAGCATGGTGTCTCCCCGTTTACCGAAGTGGGTGAGGAACTTTCACTAGGCACCTGTGATGCTTTGTCCTGGCCCGCTTTTTTTAACAGCCAGATTTTTCACAATGCAAACATTTAACTGAAGTGCTTCCCTTAATTTTTATGTTATTGCCAATTTCCCTTGTTTTACAAAGTGAATTTATCTGATCATTCCAAAACATCATGAGCCAGATAAGAATCTCTTTTTCCATCATGTATATTAGACACAGCTGTACTTACAGGGCTCCTGGTGATCAGCTTCCATCTTCCTCACTAGGTGAGCAGTTGCTTCCTATTTTGGTGAGCTGCTGCAAGGAAAGATTCAAGTCCTGTTGTAAATTCCACAGTCTCTCGGACTGTCTTTGGCCTCTTTTCACTGATCTTGATCTGCAAGTCCAAGTTCAGCTGAGCATCTGTAAATTGATCTGTTCCCAATTTATCTTGGAAGTCCTTTTCAGTATCTAGATATGCCAGGAACATGAGTCTTTTCAGGTCCTTTGCCAATTGAGGTGTGGTATCCTCTTTCCCTCTCCAAGGCTCTGTCTCCACTAGTGAGCTTACAGTGGCACAGCTGTACCAATGCAGCTGCACTGGTGTAAGATGGCTCATGTAGCCGCTCTATGTCGGAAGGAGAGAGCTCTCCCATCGACATAATAAAACCACCTCAACAAGTGGTGGTATCTGTGTTGGTGGGAGAAGCTCTCCCACCGACATGGCGCTGGGCACACTACCACTACTACTGGCGAAACTTATGTCACTCAGGGGGGTATTTTTTTCATACCCTGGAGCAACATAAGTTTTGCTGACATAAGTGGTAATGTAGACATGGCCTAACTCTTGGCTGTGCCTTGGACGCATTGCATTTAAAAAATAAGGGACTGTTTTCTTAGCATCCCACCCCGCCTCTCCTCCCAATATTATCATTAATTATTATTATTAATTAATTATTATTGTTAATAATTAATAAGTAGCAGTCATCTGCATTCATGGGGGTATTTCTTGCTGCTTTTTGCAGCACTCAGCAACTCCCAATCTTATTGTACAGAGGTGAAAAAATAAGGGACGTCCCTTGTAATAAGGGACTGTTGGCAACCCTACTTGGACATCTCAGAATGATGGCTGGCTTCAGTGGTGGAATCTCCATAGACGTTTTTAAGGCCCGGCTTGACAAAGCCCTGGCTGGGATGATTTAATTGGGGTTGGTCCTGCTTTGAGCAGGGGGTTGGACTAGATGACTTTCTGAGGTCTCTTCCAAACCTAATCTTCTATGATTCAAGACACATATCAAGGGATTGTATTAGATCTGGACAACTCAGTTTGTTTTCTGGGGCTAAGTTCTGTAGCACTATCAGAACTGGGCCACTCAGGCTGGCTACTAGAGCCCCCTCTCCCCCCCATTTTTGTCCATCTCAGTCATTTGTATGATGATGAACTGAGCCAAATAAGCCGGGCATTAAGTTTTTCCATCAAAGATAGTGAGTGGGTATCATGGATCCACAGATCTGGTGTTCTGAACAGCTCTGGAACTGTCCCTGGTAGGAACCCTTCAGTGTGCCAGACTCCCCCGTAGGGTCTCACTTTTTTACCAGGGTAAACCACTTGGCTTCACTGCTTCCTTCGACCAAATCTCAGGGCCTTCACCACCCCTGCTTTACGCCGTGAGCTCCCTTCAGTGAGTCCACCTGAGTTGGACACCTCAGAGATACTTGTACACCCAAAGGGAGCAATGCACTCACACCTTCAGCATCCGCAGTGACTCTTAGCCAGCATTATTACACAGCATAGAAAGTCCTTGGTTAGCATAGAGAAAAAAAAGTTACAGCGTGCTCCATTTGGGTTAGCCCAGGGCCCCATCAAGTGTTGTGTCCCCGTCCCCCCCCTTGGCTCCCACTCTATCCCTCTTTGTCGAAGTTCCTGAGCCAGTCCCACCTGCCTCCTCTTCAGTCCGTTGTTGGCCAATTGGTCAAATGCGTCTGGCTTCTTGCAGAGAGTTGGACCATCCATGGTTGTTAGTTGGTAGGTAGCAAATGTCCTGGGGGTTGGCTTTGCTGTTGTCTTCATGGACTCTCTAATAACATGGGCCTCAAACTCAAGACAGCTAGACATCAGCCACATCTGTGTGGCAGCCTGCCTGAGAGTAAACAGCCCTTTTTTACCCCTAGGTGACAATGCAGCCTATAGGGGAAACTGAGGCACGCACAGTATTCATACAAAATATTTACAGACCATTCCCATTTCATCACTGTGGGGTTTTGCATTATTGAGCTGAGATAATCCAATCTCTTCTCTCTGATTCTCTGGGGGTTACAAACAAGGTAGAAAACCCTTGTAAATGTCTGGTCTTACCCAAGTCTTCTGACTGGCCCAGTTCCACATCCAGGCCTCTGATTTCCACTGTGGCCCATGCCCTTTTGATTTCCTTCTCAAGGTGATTTCTCAGCTCCCTAAGTCCTTGCTGCAGCTCATTCTGTTAGCAAATTCCAAGTTGGCTAAAGCTTCCCTGGCCTCACCTTTCTGGTCTGTGGCAGTCAAGTTGCTGGTCACCTCATTAATCCATCTGGCCATTCCAGTCTGGGAGTGTTGCAGCTGGGCTTCCCAGTCTGGCCGAGCGCTTTGTAACTGTTGCCTCAACAAAGATTTCCTCTTCGCCTACAAGTCTTCTTCCAGCCCTTTCTGGGAAACCTCCAAATGCTGCTTTAATTCTTTTTGTGATGCCTCCAGCACTTGTTTTAGATCTTGTTTTAAATCCTTTTGGCCACCTTTGAATTCTGTGAGCACCTCCATCATTTGTTCCATCTTGGTTCAAAAGAAAGACCAGCTCACAGTTTCTCTTCTTGGAAACTGGATCCTGCTCCTGATACCAGTGTTACCCCTTTTTGACCTGAGAAATTAACTAAAAATTCAGTACACACCTAGTTGTTCCAGTTAGTAGGAGAAATTGGTGGTGGAGTCAGGTATCTATGATGCAATCCTGTTTATTTGCAAGGAATGTACAAAGTCCTGTTTCTCTGAGAAAGGCAGGAATCCAACAACAGGAGACAGTTTCTTTGCTCGCAGCTCCAAGCCCCTTTCTAGCCAGCACTTGGCACAAAAGTTCTCTGTCTTGGCTTCTTCTCAGGTCCCATTTGCAGTGCTTGCTGCCTTCTCTCCACTCCTCTGGTTTTTCTGCCTCCACATACACACCTCCACAAAGCAACAGCCAGTGAAACCCCTCCACCCACGTGTGCTTTGCATTTGTCTTTGTTTTGGGCAGTGACTCTGCCTGTGTTTGGGATGGAGACCACTCATTTCAGCTGCTTGTTCCTTAGAGTTTAAAGCCAGAAGAGACCATTAGAACAATCAGTCTGACCTCTTGATAGCTGCGGCTATTAAATTCCACTCAAATTACCCCTCTGTTGAGCCAAGTGACTTCAGTTAAACCTAAGCATTTCAGTCCTCAGGATACTAATCTGTTGTGAGCTTCAGACAGAGAACAGGAGAGACTGAGAGGACACCAATGCCTGAAGTCCCAGCAGTGGCAGGGAATTGACTAGATGAGAAGCTCAGGTGATCCCAGCAGGTGACCCATGACCCATGCTATAGAGGAGGGTGAACCCCCCCCAAAGTTCCTGCATATCTAACCTCGGGGAAGTTCCTTTCTGACCCCAAATCTGGTGATCAGTTAGTCTCTGAGCATGTCAGCAAGACCCACCAGCCAGGCAACTAAAACAGAGGATTGTCTGCACCACCTGATAGCACTGGCCCTCCCCAGGCGACTTTCTCCACCTCTGGCTGATGCTTCAGAGAAAGGTGAAAAAAAAGCCATACATTACAAGGTGTCAGGGGGAAAAAAAACTTTCGTGACCCTTTCAGGTGAAGCATGAGATTAGGTGCTAGTCATTCTCATAGTACATACATAATATACATAATCCCTAACGCCTGCTGCCATAAAGGAGCTTAATGGCTTCTTACAAACCTTAAATGAAGGGCAACAACTACACCCAACCCAGAACAACAAGGTTTAACCTGACCCCTGTTAGTATTGTGTGCATGTGTGTGGGGATCTCTCTGTGCGCACCACCTTCCCCTCCCCCCTGGGCCTTGCTGGTGTGGTGCCTGCTGCCCATGCAGCCCAGTAATGGCCTGTGGTGCCCGGCTCCCCACCACAGGCTCCATCTCAGTGAATAGCCGCAGCATACCGTTCCTGGCCAGTGGGGAGAGTGAGATCCTGGACCTGGACAGTGAGATGTACCTGGGGGGCCTTCCCGAGAATCGGCTGGACTTGATCCTACCCCCTGAGGTGTGGACTGCCTTCCTCAACTACGGCTATGTGGGCTGCGTGCGGGACCTGTTCATCGACGGCAAGAGCCGGGACGTGCGGCGCCTGGCCGAGGTGCAAAGTGTGCCCGGTGTCTCCAGCTTCTGCTCCCGGGAGACCCTCAAGCAGTGCAGCAGTGCACCCTGCCGCAATGGGGGGGTCTGCCGTGAGGGCTGGAACCGCTTCGTCTGTGACTGCCTTGGCACTGGCTACCTGGGCAGAGTGTGCGAGAGAGGTGAGGGGGTCATGGGGGCACTGGGTACCTGGGCACGGTGTGGGAGAGGTGAGGGGGTCATGGGGGCACTGAGTACCTGGGCACAGTGTGGGAGAGTTGAGGGGGCTATGGGGGGTACCGGGTACCTGGCCAGGGCATGGGAATGGTGAGGAGGCTATGGGGGCACTGGGTACCAGGGCAGGGTGTGGGAGAGGTTAGAGGGACATGGGGGGCACTGGGTACCTGGTCAGGGTGTGGGAGAGGTGAGGGGGCATGGAAGTGGTGAAGAAGGAATCCAGGAGGCTACCCTCCCCAACTGCAGGTGGGATTTCTGTGTTAGGGTCAGTCATGGGAAACATGGTGCCACCGCCTGGTTGTCTCTTAGTGAGACAGATGGACCCTGGCATCAGGACAGAGTTGGTGAAAAGCTGATTCCTCAGCTCACTGGCAGCTCTGAAAAATCAGGGAAAGAAGTGAGTTTGGGTCGAAGGGAATTGGAACTTTCCTGGAATTTTCAACCAATCTAAAAGTCGACAATAAGTCTGTCTGGGGTGGACGCAGTGGGCTGGTTGGGGACATCTTTAAAGGGCTGGACTCCTAAAACGGCTGAAGGAGGAGTATGAAGGGTTCCTCCATTATAACTTTTAGCCCCATGGTCAGCGCACTCACCTGGGATGAGAGAGCCCTGGGTTCCAGTCCCTGCTCCAACGAATGCGCAATTTATACAAAGTGACCCAGCTCCAACAGGCCAGACGGGGAGAGACCCACCCCAGAATAGCCTGTAACTAGGTATTGGGGCACTCACCTGGAGTGGGAAGACCTACGGTTAGGTCGCTGCTCCAGAGGGGGTTCCCCCAACCCAGGTGAGTGCTCTAACCACTGGGCTAAAAGTCATCCCCTCTGCCTCCAGCTGCAGTTTTGTGAATGGTACCAAAGTCCCACTATGAGCCCAGCCCCTACATTTGTTTTCTCTGAAACTATTCAGTGAAATTTGCAAAGAGTTTGAGGTTGACCGAAGCTGCGTTTTGGGATTAATAAACTATTTGCCCCAAAACCTTTGCCCAGCTCTAATCAGGACTCCTGGGTTCCATGCCTAGCTGTGGGAGGGGAGTGATGTTTAGTGGTTAGAGCAGGGAGGCTGGGAGTCAGGACTCCTGGGTTCTGCGTGGGGGGCTGGAGGAGGTTGGGATTGGGAGGAGGGGCTCTCTGGGTATTGTGGTGTAAGGCAGAACCTAACACATGTTCTCTCTCTCTCTCTCCCCCATTTCTGTTCTTTTTTTTTACCATCTCTCTCCTACCCCCATTGCCCCATCTCAACCCCCATTCCCCGTGCACCCCCACCCCTCATTACCCCCTACCCCTCAGAGGCCACAGTGCTGAGTTATGATGGCAGCATGTACATGAAGATCATGCTGCCGGGGGTGATGCACACGGAGGCCGAGGACGTGTCCCTGCGGTTCATGTCCCAGCGTGCCTATGGCTTCATGCTGGCCACCACCTCCAAGGAGTCGGCCGACACCCTGCGCCTCGAGCTTGACGGCGGGCAGATGAAGCTTACCGTCAACCTAGGTAACAGCCCCACCATCTGGGGATGCCCCAGTGCTGAGGGGGCTAACCAGCTCCCTGGGGGTCACCCCCTCCCTCTTGGCAGCCGGTTCCAGGTGTCCCCTGGGAAGAGGTGACCCTAGGGTGCACCTTTGCTGAGGGGTCAGCCCCTGCTTTGGAGCCCTCCTGCGCCCATCTGGTCTTTAGAAAGACACCCCCTTTTCCAGGGGGATTCACCTTCGCACCCATTTTGGTCTTGTTGGTGCCAGAGGGCGGCTCCCTGTCTAACATGGGACCTGCTTTCTCCACTGCGCCTGGCCAATGGGGCGAGAGGGGCCCTTCAACTCGCTGGCACCCCATTGGCTGGCAGGAGTTGGTGGGCCTGAGGGGGAAGAGCTCCCCATCTTTCTAAAGGCCTGGCAGGGTTTGGAGTGATTTCTAGCTCGCTGTTTTTAACCCTTCATCGGCGCAGACTCTGCCAGCCCAGCAAGCAGCAGCCGGGACCAAACCCCGCAACCCTTACCCCACTCTCTCATCCCCCCCAATTCTCCCAAACTCTGCCCATCCACAACCCCCCAAACCCCACCTCCACATCCTTCACTACATCCCCAGCCTCCCAAACCTCTGCAGACCCACAGACCCCCACCCTATCTCCACAACCCCCCAAATCACATCCCCAAATCCTCAGACCCCCACCCTTATCTCCATAACCCCCAAGCCCCACCCCCAAACCTCTGCAGACCCACAGACCCGCACCCCATCTCCACAACTCCCCAAACCCATCCCCAGACCCCCAAAACGCTGCTGACCCCCAGATCCCTGCCCCATCTCCACAACCCTCTTACTCCACCCCAAAATCCTGAAGATCCACAGCCCCCTGAACCAAACCCACAGCTCTCCCACATCCCATCCACCTCAGCGCAACTCCCTGTGGATACACTGCACTCCCAAACCTCACACCTCCTTCCCCTTGCCACAACTACCCTCATCTTCCTATCCCCCATGAGATTACCTCCCTTTCCCCCATGGGGTTGCCCCCTTTCCCTCCCTCCTTCATCCCTCTCCCCCCATGGAGTTACTTCCTTCCACTCATTTCCCACCCCCATGGGCTCCCCTGTTGGCTCTTTGGTCCCGTGCCTGTTTGCGCCCCACTGTTCTGTTGTGGTTGACAACGTGCGTCAGACCCAGCCGTGTAGCCTGTGGGAATGGGGCCCCCTTTCCTTTCTCCCCAGGGAACCCAGAACCTCCTGTCCACCGCAGAGATCAGGGAATGGCAAGAGCTCCCCACAACCTTCTAGGTAACAGAGGGCAGATCTGGGGTGGCACACTGTACCCCACCACTCCCTTAACCGCTTCCCTTCTGGCTATCTTGGGTTGTGGGGCACCTCTATAGTGGGACACTGATGCCCTCCATATGGACCCAAGGGATGTCCCTGTGCTGTACAGCACCCCCAGCTTCATATAATGCCCTTCCCCCAGATTTGCGGGCATTGTTGGCACCCCAGAATCTGTATATGACCCCCCATCCATGGGGTCATGATTGACAGAATCTCTGCCCCCCCCCCCACATCACCTATTCATGAGGTGCAATCAACACGCTAGAATCTCCATGGTCCTCCCCATGCCCCTTTAATTTGTTCCCCCAGTTCCAGAGGAGCTTTGAAATAGGGTCTCCCAGATAATGTGGAGGATGCCATAATGTGCCTGCCACCATAAGGAACAGTGTCCTGAGGGCCAGAGTGGGGGGACTGGGGAACCCCAGAAAGGGGGCTAAGAGCCCACCCTGAGCTGCATTTGCTAAGTAACCCCCCAAATTCCAGCCACCCTCTATAGACCCCCCAGCACCCTCATTCCCTCCAGCACCCCGTATTCTTCAGTGCTGCCCCCCCTCACAGAATGCATTGGTGCTGGGTCTAATGTTCCCTGATCTCTGCACGGTTCCAGGGCTGCCCAAGGAAGATGGAGGTGGTAGCAAGCGGGGGCAACCCAAGCTTGGCCCCCTAATCCATGCTGGGTGCAGGGGGACCCTGGTTGGGGGAGTGAAGGGGAGAGGAGGTGCCCCCCATACATCTGAGCATGAGGCTGCTCAGCAGGGGTTAATCCCTCCTTGTTTTCATCTTCCTTGTGGCACTGTTTGGGGTGCCAGGGTGGGGGAGGAAGAAGGGGTGGTCCATCCCCCACATTGCCCGCTGCACGGCTGGTGTTTGCAAGGTGGCCATTTGTCAGAGGGGTGGGGATTATCCCAACAAAGTGCAGGGAGGAGAATGAGCCCCATGAGCTGGGGGAAATTGACTGCGAACTCTGTTAAAGGTTATAAACCTTTCCTCTCCCCCAAAAAAGAGAAACTTCAGCCTAGATCATGCCTGTCACAGATCTGGCCAATCCGCTTTCTAAACTGCTTCCAAGTTAATCCACTTTCTAAAGTGGGGGTTCTGGGCTAATCCACTTTCCAAAAAAAGAACAGGAGTACTAGTGGCACTTTCCAAACCAGTTCCTACTAAACTGGTTTAAACATGTCAGCCCAGTCCTTGTAGATGGGATTCAGACTGAGCTGAGGAATTGGGTCCCAGCCCAGGTCCTGGCTCAGATTCCCAAGCCTAGCTGGCCCAACATCCTACCTTGAACTAGGACTGTAAAACTGCATCCAAAACCAGTTTGACAAACCCAGTTAGAAACCCAGTAAACCGGGACCTTTCCGTGACCCTGTTTTTGGTCAGCTTTCTCATCCCACTCCTCATTGCCCCCCCCCAACAGTGCCAATCTGCTTCCTAAACCGGTTTAGGCCAGTTTCCTTTATAAACCAGCTCAGGCCAATTCCCTTTAACAAACTAATTCAGGCCTACAATCCCTTCAAGTGAGGACACAGTTATAGCAGGATAAAGGAGCCTTACGACCTGTCCACATGGGGAAATTTCCCAGCATAGCTACCGCGGAATGGTTATTAATTGTTAATTATTAACTCCCAGTATGGACACTCTGTTCTGGAATAAAAGTGATTTTATTCTGGGATAATTACTCCGCTTGCCAAGCTCTGCCGGGGAATTTCCCCATGCGGAAAAAATCTCATATCAGAAAAGCTTATTCCCTGCCCCTACAGGAATAGCTATGCACTTTTATATTGGTACAACCATGTCCACATTAGGCAGCACTGTTCCGCTTTAGACTGGGGAAGCTAAAGCAAGACAACTTGTGTGTGTAGCCAAGGCTGGAGATTGGCAACTCTTTAGGAGCAGGGACTGGCTTTTTGTTCGGTGTCTGTCCAGCACCTGGCACAATGGAGCCCTGCTGCATCATTAGAACGACTGTTTATGACTTGAATTGCAGAAGTGCCTGTGAGCCCCCATCTTGGTTGCACCAGATGCTGTACAGACACAGTCCAGTTATCATACGCAACAAGAAATGATGCAGCCCCACTGCTGTCCAGGAAGATAGTTTGGGGCTGTAGGTGGGATACTTTTAAGGGACCAGTTCCTACCAAATTTGGGGTCCCCTTCCTCAGTGTGAGAGGTTTCCATTCCCCTGGGCTCCAAATGGCCACCTTGACCCGCGTCTGTCCCCGGATGGTGGGCTGTGAATTGAATGGTTGTTTGCAGAAGTAACTTTGAAGGATGTAAAACTGTTGCGTTCTCTTCTCTCTCCCCCTACCCCCCCATCACCCTGGCCCCCGTCTCAGACTGTGTCAGGATAGGCTGTAACCCTAGTAAGTCACTTCTTTACCTTCGGGGTTTTTATTTCATGTTCTCTCTCTCCTGCTCGTTAAATGAACCGGGTGAATTTTGGGGGTCAATCCTAATGGAAAGGTGACAGGTGCTGTATGACTGTAGCTGATTTGCTATGACACTGCACAGAAGAGGTGGAGGGGCTGGGACTCCTGGGTTCTATTCCTGGCTCTGGAAGGGCAATGGTATCTAGCAGTTAGCGTGTGTGGGCTGGGAGGTTTTCAACTCTGCGAAGGGAGCGGGTATAGGGGTTAGTGCAGAAGGACTGAGTGAGAACTCCTGAGTTCTATCCTGGCTCAGGGAGAGAAGTGAGGGCTGGTGGTTAGAGCAGCAGACTGGGAGTCAGGGCTCCTAGGTTCTATCCCCAGTGCTGCCCATTTTAGGGTGTCACCTTAAAATGAGTCACTTCACTGCTCCTTGCCTCAGTTTCTCCTTGCCTCAGACTAACTGCACCTGCCCTGTATGTGCATGTCCGAGCTTTATACCCCTACTGCATGTTTGATGCTTACAGAGCCTCATATAGGGTGGGAGGGTTGGCTAGGAATTGCCCTGCACCCCATCCCCACCTGGACCTGGAACACCCCAAGAAGACAGGACCTGCTATTTCCCCCCCACCCCATGCCTTGGCCCCTCAGGCACTGTTGACACACTACCCTCCTCCCTGCAGCCTGTTTGCACCACTGCCCCTGCAGGCTGGATTCAGAAACACACTATGGGGTGTCATAAGCCCTCCTACTGCAAGCAACTGATGGGGAGTCTCTAGTTCATGGTTCTCGCCCTGTCCAGCATGGAGCTGCTCAGCAAATCTGGGGTAGGGGCAAATTAAACACACACACCTGTGTCCCCACAGGTGAGTGGCAAAGCCCTGGTGGTAAGTGACTGGCACCTTGCTTTGGGATGATAGGTGCAGGGCACCACAGCACCTTGGTCGTTTCTGTGCCCACAACACACACCACATGCACAAGCCTCACATGGTTACATAGACTCACCCAGCCACACCACAGTCTGCCCCAGACACACACAATCAACTACACACACAAAAACACAAACTTTCACACTTACCACACATAAACAAAGAGATTCACACAACCACAATTGCACCAAACCACAACACCCCCATGCAGCAGGTCTCATTCACTCACGTAGATGGCAATGCACACACACTGAGGAGAGTAGGTCTTACTCCTTCCAGCAGGGGGCAGCATGCACGCACACATACACACACACCCAGCAGGGGGACACTGATATGCACACTGGCCAGGGAACAGATCCAAATGCATGTTTGCATGCCAGTTGGGGGAACATTGTACCACACAAAGACTGTTGGGGTAGGCACCGATTACACATACATGTGTGCCAGCTAGGGTCTGTGTCACACCATTACATACATGCATGTGCTGGTCAGAGGGGCACACCATTACATGTGTGCCAGCTGTGGTGCGTTTCACACCATTACATGAATGTTCCATCCAGGGGAGTACACCATTACATATACATGTGCATTGACTGAGGGGCACACAGTTACACGCATGTGTGCGCTGGCTGGGAGGCACATGGTTACACCCGTGTGTATGCACTGGCTGGGGGGCACACAGTTACACACGTGTGCACTGGCTGGGAGGCACATGGTTACACACATGTATGTGCTGGTTGGGGGCACACGGTTACATGTGTATGCGCTGGTTGGGGGCACACGGTTACATGCACTGGCTGGAGGACACACAGTTACATGTGTGAGTGTGCTGGCTGGAGGCACGGTTACACGGGTGAGTGCGCTGGCTGGGGGGCAGCCATGGTTACTCTCACGTGTGCTCAGGGCTGCACTCGTGCCAGCAGTGACATGCAGCCCCCAAGTGTGATGCATCTCCTGACAGCGAGGAGCTCCACCCCTTGGACTCAGGTGCGTAGATAGGCCAATGGCATTTCATTGGCTAGAAAGGGGTGGGGCCCCATGGTGGGGATAAGCCCCAGCTCTTGTGCATGTGGGTTCCTAGCGTGTTGGGAAGAGAACACCTAATCACAACTCACCCTTGTGCCAGGCAGGTGAAGAATTTACTATCAGCTCATGGAAGGGGAAGCTGAGACATAAGGAGGGGAAGTGACCAGTCCCCAAGATCACAGAGATAGCTGGGGAGAGAACCCAGGAGTCCAGGCTCCCAGTCCCAACACAGATTTCCATGTCTCCCATATAGTCCTTGATCTAAATTGCTGAGTTGCTACCCCCCCCCCCCCGCCGGGTCTGGGAAATCCAGCCAGGATTCACCCTGACAAAGAGTCCCAGGTGTTTGGTGGGTGGGTTCCAGCTCCAAATTAGCCCTAGAATTGGGAGGAGAGCCAGGGGTGGGGGAGGATGATGGAGGTCTCTACACCATGGGGCAGAGACTTAGTGCAGAGAGGTGTGTGGGTGAAGGGAATATGCATGGGTGAGGGTTGGGAGTGGGTATGAGGAGGGGGAGTAGGGATGATGATATGTGGAAAGGTGGGGGGTGGGGAATGAGGTGGGGTGGCTCTGGGGATGGGGGGAACACAGAGGTGAGGATTGCAATATGTAGAAAGGGGCTAGGGATTGGAGGGGCAGTGATTAGGGGTGGGATGAAGGAGTGTATTTCCTCACTGCCTCTCCAACCCCCATCCCTAGATGTGAGGGGATCCCCATCCCCAGGTGCGTTGTAGCCCCCAGGGCGGGGAAGGAAAGGTCTCCGGGGTGGGGAAATACAATTGGGCCTCCCTCCCCCAACTCAGGTGAGGAGGGGGCTCTTTTGCTTTGGGAACCTGTGGGAGGTCAGAATCCCTTGAACAGCCCCCCCATCATTCCCTGCCCTCCCCAGAGTCCTTTAATCCAACCAGCAAAAGGATGCCTCCATTGCTGGATGAGGAGCTGCAGAGTCTGGGTTTCCCCACCAGGTGGCAGAACTCACCTAAGCAAGCCTGATTTACCTGGGCTAATGGCACTTAGGGCAGCGTCCGCCTGCTAACGCAATAGCTGATGCACTGTGCCCAGCAGCTGGGGGAGTGTGTGGAGAAGAATATTTCCCATTGTCATCCACCTGCCCCCTCAGAAATGAATAATCTAGGCCCAACCACACTTCAGAGTATAAACAATAACGGACTAGCCATATTCGCTGTAAACCTGGGCTGATTAGCCTCCATGCAATGAACGTAGGTCCATCTGCAATACAAATACATAATAATTAGCCCATCTCCCTACCCAGCTGGGGGTATCAACCCCTGTGCAATTAATAACATGCATAATAATTAATGAACCACTTCCTTAGAGAACTTGGATTGTTAGAACCATTCAATTAATATAGGTCCTACTCCAATACAGATAGCTGCTGATAATTTAGTCCCTCCTCTCCCTATGGATCAAGAGTTGTTAGAGTCCCTGCAATTAATAACATAGGCCAGGGTTGCATGACTGGTGGCCATGATGGGGCTGTATCCAGCCCATCAACCAGGAGACGGCTCCCTGGCCCCTGCTGGAGGAAGGAAAATGTGTCCCTGGGCAGGGGCACAAACTCATCTGCCTTCCCACAGATTGTGGAGCTGAGCAATGGCGGGCAGACGTGTGTGAGGTGACACCGTGCAGCGCGGGGCTGTCGCTGCAGGACTCACTGCTCTGGCGCATGTTCTTACAGCAGCAGGGACCACTTCTTCCTGGACCACACCAGCCAGCCAGAGGGGCTGGTGGGGCCTCTGCTACCTTAAGTTGCCCATCCCTGCATTAGGCCCAAAGTAGAAATACCATAATTAATTAGCCCCTCCCCTATGTACCTGGGGATTATTAGCCCCCATGCAATTAATAATATGCAAAATACTAATGAACCATTCTCCCAGAGACCTGGGGTTGTTGGTGCCTTGCAATTAATGTTGGTCCTACTGCAATACAAATAATTAGCCCTTTTCTTCCCCGTATACCTGGGATCGACACCCCATGCAACTAATATGCCAATTGATTAATTATCCACTACCACATGCAATTATTATGAATACTAATTTAGGTCCTTCCTATATAGCTGTGTTTATTAGCCCTCATACAATTAATAATAATGAACCATTCCCGCACAGACCTGGGGTGGTTAGAAAGCATGCAAATAATGTAGGCCCTACTACAATAGAAATGAGTCCCTCCTGTCACCACATCCACCCGGGTATATTAGACACCCATGCAGTCATTAATAGGCATGGTGATAACTGTTAAATAGCCACATCCTCCCGTGCAGTGACCTGGCATTAACCCTCCCATGCAATGAATTAGTTGCCTAATGGTAATGATTCATTAGCCACTTACAGGCTCTCAGCTCTGCCTCCACCCTGCTCTAAGCACACCTGGATGGGGAGGGGGTGATTCAGGAGAGGGGGGTCTCTTAGCAGCTGGCTGTTTATTGGGTCACCCCTACCAGCTAGCGGTGACTGAGAAGATGAGGTGCTAATGGGGGGAGGAATAGTGGGTTAGGATTGGCCATGGGTATTACTTTTTTCCTAACCTGTGGTTTGAGGGGTCACCAGTTCCCCATTTCTGACCTGGGGGGTTTCCTTGGAGATGCAGGGATGGATTTCAAGATGATCTGTCATTTCACTTGTTTTCTTGCTGATTCACTTGCTCACCAGCAGGTGGTGATACACACACACACACATTCTCCAGTAGCAAGCCTCATTGTTAGTCTTGGTCCCTGTGTGTGAGAGACAAAGAGACTAGCAAGGTGGAGAGCTGAATAGAGCAGTGGGTGTGCTCTGGGCTGTGTGTGCAATTGCACCTAGCAGTAGAGTGCAGTGGGGTGTAGGTGTGCTCAGGGCTGTGTGTATGCAATTATACCCAGTAGGGTGTGTGTGTGTAGGTGTGTTCAGGGCTGTGTGTGTGGTTATACCCAGCAGGGAGTTGTAGTGGGGTGTGCTCAGGGCTGTGGGTGTGTATGGTTACACCCAACAGGGGGTTGTAGTGGGGTGTGGGTGTGCTCAGGGCTGTGCATGCAGTTGGAAGCTGTAAGGTTTGGGCCTGAATTTCCAGGGGAGCTGTTTTTTCCCAACGCTGAGCCAGAGTTTCCCCCGAGCAGCTGTCACAACCTCTCCAGGGTACGGGCACCATCCCAGTGTAGCAACTGCAGAGCAGGAGTGCAGTGCGGTCAGGACTTGGGAGGAATGGAGGGAGTGATGAACTACCCCATTGTGGGGAGGGATAGCTCAGTGGTTTGAGCATTGGCCTGCTAAACCCAGGGTTGTGAGTTCAATCCTTGAGGGGGCCACTTAGGGATCTGGGGCAAAATCAGTACTTGGTCCTGCTAGCGAAGGCAGGGGGCTGGACTCGATGACCTTTCAAGGTCCCTTCCAGTTCTAGGAGATAGGATAGGATATCCCTCACCCATCCCCCTGTGCACTCTTTGCCCTCAGGGAGTGTATGGGCTCTAGGAGGGTGGGGTGTATATTGGGGGCCTGTATAATCCCGGCCTGTTGCCAGCTGGGGCAGTCTGGCGGGGGGGTGGGGTGTCTGCGTGGGTTCAGTGTGTATCTAGGAGGGAGTGGGGAGGGCGAGATGCTACCTAAGTTGCTATGGTATGGGGGAGGGAAAGCTGGGGGGGTGTTGCCAGCTGGGTGAGTATTGGAGGTTGTGTGTGTTCAGGATGTATCCAGACAGGCAGGGGAGGGGCTGGCACCTGGGGGCTGTCTAGGCCTTGTGCCCATTCCCCCGACCCCATTGGAGCACTAACCCCCTGTGCTGCCCCCCTCCCCAATTCAGGTAAAGGCCCCGAGACCCTCTTCGCTGGCCACAAACTCAACGACAATGAGTGGCACACAGTGCGGGTTGTGCGGCGCGGGAAGAGCCTGCAGCTCTCGGTGGATAACGTCACCGTGGAAGGTACGTGAGGACCCCAGACTGGGATAGTAGGAAGCTGAGGGGCACTGGCAAGGCTGGGGTGGGGAGAGCCCAGGGCTGGGATAGCAGGGGGCTGAGGGGCACTGGCAGGTCTGGGGTGGGGGGAGCCCAGGGCTGGGATAGCAGGGGGCTGCCAGTTGGGATGGAGGGTCACCGGCTGGGGTGAGGGCACAGGTCTGGAGTCTGCCCCCGTCCCACCCTGGTGTGTAACAGTGCCCTGCCCCCCTCCCGCTCCAAGCAGGGCAGATGGCCGGCGCGCACACCCGCCTGGAGTTCCACAACATCGAGACCGGCATCATGACAGAGCGCCGCTTCATCTCCGTGGTGCCCTCCAACTTCATCGGGCACCTGAGCAGCCTGGTGTTCAATGGGCTGCCCTACATGGACCTGTGCAAGAATGGCGACATCAGCTACTGCGAGCTCAATGCCCGCTTTGGCCTGCGCAGCATCATTGCCGACCCCGTCACCTTCAAGAGCCGCGCCAGCTACCTGGCGCTGGCCACGCTGCAGGCCTATGCCTCCATGCACCTCTTCTTCCAGTTCAAAACCACCGCCACCGACGGCCTCATCCTCTTCAACAGCGGCAATGGCAACGACTTCATCGTGGTGGAGCTGGTCAAGGGGTGAGATGCAGCCCCTACCTCCCCACCCCAGTGGGCCATGGGCCTGCCCCGGCCTGGGCTCCTCGCCCTGCCCGCTAGGCAATGGGCCCTGCCCCAGGGAGCAGGCCTAGTGCCCAACCTCTGAGCCATGTGCTATGTCCTCTGGGCCTGCTGCATCCTCAGGCACAATGCTCCTCTGCCCTGCCCACTAGGGTCTTCTCTCCACCCCACTGCCCTGCCTCCTGCCTCTCTCCCTGCCCCTCACAGGGAGCCCTGCCCTCACTGACCCCAGCTCTGCCTCAAGTGCTGCCCACAGGGCGCTGGGCCTCACACAGGGGCCTAGGTCTCCTGCCCATTATCCTGCCCTCTGGGCACACGCTCCTCCCGCTGCTCTGCCAACCAGCCCATCTGCCCACCCCCTCACGCTCCACTGCCCCCTCCACACAGGTACATCCACTATGTCTTCGACCTGGGCAACGGGCCATCGCTGATGAAGGGGAACTCGGACAAGCCAGTTAATGACAATCAGTGGCACAATGTAATCGTGTCGCGTGACACCAGTAACGTCCACACGCTCAAGATCGACTCCCGCACTGTCACCCAGCACTCCAACGGTGCCCGCAACCTGGACCTCAAGGGTGAGCCACGCCAGCCGGCGCTGGGCCATGAGGGCACCCGGGGCACACTCCCCTCACAGGCAGTGCTGGCCCCAGCATGGAGCTAAGAAGGGCTGCACTGCAGGGTGCGGGGGGTCGGTATGGGGGGCTGCACTGCAGGGTGCGGGGGGTCGGTATGGGGGGCTGTGCTGCAGGGTGTGGGGGGTCAGTATGGGGGGCTGGGCTGCAGGGTACAGGGGGGTCGGAATGGAGGGCTGTGCTGCGGGGGGGTCAGTATGGGGGGCTGCGTTGCAGGGTGCAGGGGGGTTGGAATGGGGGCTGTGCTCTGGGGGTGTTGGTGTGGGGGGACTGTTACAGGTTGCAGTGAGGGGTCAGTATGGGGGCAGGGCCGGTGCTTCCATTAGGCGACCCTAGGCAGTCGCCTAGGGCGGCAGGATTTGGTGGGCGGCATTTTGCCGCCCTCAGCGGAAATTCAGCGGTGGGGGGTCCTTCCGCTCTGGGTCTTCAGCGGAAATTCGGCGGCGGTTCCCGGAGCGAGTGAAGGACCCGCCGCCGAATTTCTGCCGAAGACCCGGAGCGGAAGGACCCCCTGCCGCCGAATGCTCAGAGGAGGAGCGCTGCCGCCTAGGGCGGCAAAAACCTGGCGCCGCTCCTGTATGAGGGGGCTGCGTTTCAAGGAAGCAGGGGGGCAGTGTGGGGGGGCTGGGCAGCAGGGGTGTGGTAGTGGGGCGGTGGTGTGGGGTGATCTCCCCATGCAGCCAGAACTGACTGTATCTCAGATTGGATTGTTTTGCTGAAGCTCCCCAGCAGTGTCCATTGAGTTTGGAATTTTGCCTCACTTCCTGTCTTAAACTGCTGTGTGGATATGAAAAGCCATGCGCCCCACCCCAGAGGTGGCTGCATCTCAGCACTGGCAGGGGCGTCCCTGACTTAGACTGAGCCATGCACTGGGGTTGGTATTCCTGCAAGCGAAAGGACCCAGAGGATCCTGTCCATTCCTTCACCCCTGTGTGCATGGATCACTCAATCGGCCGGGAGCAGGCTGGCGCTGGGGGGCTGTCACAGATCCACAGGCTCCAGGCTGCGCCCCCAGCTTTGTGGAGGAATCCCTTCGCTGCGCCAGACCCCAGGGCTCTCACTCTTCCTCCAGGGTGGGCCACGCAGCCTCCCGCCTGCTGAGACTGACCCTATGTCTGTCTGCCCGCCTCGGTAGCTCTCAGGTGGGAGCTCCCAGCTTCCTCCAGCAGGCAGCGCTTCTCCCCCAGCGCCCCCTCCAGTCCTTTCTTCTCCAGCTGGGATCTCGGCTCAGCTTCCCTGCTGGGAGGGTGGATCCCTGAGTCACTGGGGCTGGCCTGGTCTCTCTGGCCCCTTGTTCTGGGTCGGTTACAGCTAGTTCCTGGAGGGCTCTATTCATTCCACCCAGACAGGAAGGTGACACTCGCCCCCGTGTCCCTTAGGGCTTGTCCTCACTAGAAAATTAGGTTGGTTTATGTACATCGCTCAGGGGTGTGAAAAATCCACAATCCCTGAGCCCGTAGTTAAGCCAGCCTAAGCCCTGGGCTACACTACAAAATCATCTCAGTATTACTATGTCACTCAGGGCAGTGGCGTAGCCAGCTTTTAAGAGGAGGGGGAGCAAAGATAAAAAAGGCACCATCCCTTGGCTCCTCCTCTGGCCACGCCCCCTTGGCTCCTCCTCCGGCCGCACCGACCCTCCCCCTCCATGGCTCCTCCGGCCCTGCCGTGCCACCCCTGTGGCCCCCCCCTCGCTCCTCCGGCCGCCATGCTGCGTCCCCTGCCCCGCTCCTCCGGCCACGCCCGCCGCCCCCCCATGGCTGCCGGCTGCGTTGTGGGCCGCCAGCCTGGGCGCCCCCTCGCTCCTCTGGCCGGGCCGCCAGCCTGCGTCCCCCCTCGCTCCTCCGGCCCGGCCACGGCTGGCGGGCCGCGAGCCTGGGCCCCGCCTCGCTCCTCTGGCCCGGCCGTGGCTGCCGGGCTGTGCTGCGGGCCGCCAGCCTGGGCCCCCCGCCCCTCCTCGCTCCTCCGGCGCGGCTGCAGCTGCCGGGCTGCCAGCCTGCGTCCCCCCTCGCTCTGACCTCCGGCCCGGCCGCGGCTGCCGGGCCACGCTGCGGGCCGCCAGCCTGCGCCCCCCCTCGCTCCTCCAGCCGCTTTTGGAAAGGCAGGGGAAGCGGCTGCTTCCCCTGCACCTTGCTAGCTACGCTAGTGACTCAGGGTGTGAATAATCCACACCCCTGCGTTGCTGTGTCCGCAGGAGGGCTACCCCCTCCACAGAGCTACTGCCTCTTGCAGAGGTGGAGTAACTACGCCCATGGGAGACGTTCTCTCCTCGACATAGGAGCATCTTCTCTTAAGTGCTACCGCCGTGCATCTGCACCAGTGCAGTGTTTTAAGTGTAGACCTGCTCTTAGTCCTTTCCCCCACACTGAGTAACAGTGCAGCATATAGGGGAAACCAAGGCACACACAAGGCCATGTCTGCACTGCCACTTATGTCACTGAGGGGTATGAAAAAACCACCCCCCTGAGCAGGGCCGGCTCCAGGTACCAGCGAAGGAAGCAGGTGCTTGGGGTGGCCAATGGAAAGGGGCGGCACGTCCGGGTCTTCGAAAGCAATTCGGCAGCAGGTCCCTCAGTCCCTCTCGGAGCGAAGGACCTGCTGAATTGCCACCAAAGAATGAAGCGGCACGGTAGAGCTGCTGCCGAAGTGCTGCCGATTGCGGCTTTATCTTTTTTTAGGTTTTTTTTAGTTTTTTTGCTTCGCTGCTTGGGGCGGCAAAAAAGCTGGAGCCGGCCCTGCCCCTGAGCAACGTACGTTTCGCCAGCATAAGTGGTAGTGTGCACAGCGCTGTGGCAGTGGGAGAAGATATCACCACTCATTGAGGTGGCTTTATTATGTCGATGGGAGAGCTCTCTCCCATCGGCACAGAGCAGCTACCGGAGCGCTCTTACATCGGTACAGCTGTGCCGCTGTTAGACATGGCCTACGCGACTCACAAAAATAGTACCCAAAATTCCCACTTTGTCATAGCCTGCACCCCAGTGAACCTCCAGCACTACCCCCATCCCAAAACCCACTCAGCACCACGCCATTGTGGTGCTGGGGTTCATGGGGTCAGGGCAGAGGTGAAAGTAACTTACAGGACTTACCGGTACAGGCAAGTCGAATCTTAGGCGCATTTAACATGCGCGAATTCAGCTTTGCGCGGTCAGCAAAAACGGGAAGAAAAAAAGAAAAACAACAATATAAAAACTGCATCTGTAGTGCGGGCGATTCTGCCCGCCATTGAACTCAATGAGTGTTTCACTATACGCGGTTTTCGCTTTACGCGCTAACCGCGGAACAGAACCCCCGCGTAAGATGAGACTTGCCTGTACTGCCGGAGTCCTGAGGGGGGCATGGCCTCATCAGGAAGAGGCGGGGCCTTTCAAGATTTAAAGGCCGTGGGGCACCGGCTGTGGCTGGGAGCCCCAGGGCCTTTAAATCAACCCGGAGCTCCCAGCTGCAGAGGTGGCTGGGAGCCCCCGGGGCTCAGGGGGAAATTAAAGGGCCCCGGCCACCGCGGAGCTCCGGGTCCTTTAAATCCCCACTGCAGCTCTGGCTGCCGGAGCTGCGGGCGGGATTTAAAGGGCCCGGAGCTCCTGCCGCTGCGGGGAGCCCTGAGCCCTTTAAATCCCCGCCGCGGAAGCCGGTGCGGTCCGGCATGGCGTAGTGGCTCTTGCCGGTACGCCGTACCGGACTGTACCGGCTTACTTTCACCTCTGGGTGAGGGCAGGCCTGGGGTGATGGCGGGAGAAAGCGAGTTGATTGTGGCACTGGGAGACTCACGGAGTAGGAGCAGCCCTGGGCTGATGGGGTGGGGAGAGGGGTGCTGATTGGGGCACTGTGGGCTAATGGGGTGGGAGCAGTGCTGGGCTGATGGGGCGGGGAGAAGGGGAGTTGATTGGGGCACTGGGAGACTCACGGGGTAGGAGCAGTGCTGGGCTGATGGGGCAGGGAGAAGGGGAGTTGATTG